TTTCTTTTTCTTTTTTTTTTTTTTTTTTTAAAGAGAGAGACAGGATCTCATTGTATTGCCCAGGCTCATCTCGAACTCCTGGCCTCAAGCAATTCAACCACTTCAGCTTCCCAAGGTGTTAGGATTACAAGTGTAAGCCACCACACCCCATGGAGTCTTTAGATTTTTCTAAGTATAAGACCATGCCGTCTGCAAACAAGGCTAATGTGACTTCTTCATTTCCAGTTTGGATGCCGTTCATTTCCTTGTCTTGCGTAATTGCTCTGGCCAGAACTCCCAATATTACATTGAATAAAAGTGGTAAAAGTGGGCATCCTTGTCTTGTTCCAGATCTTAGAGGAAAGGCTTTCAATTTTTCTCCATTTATTACAATGTTAGCTGTGAGTTTGTCATAGATAGCTTTTATTATTTTAAGGTATGTTCCTTCTATACCCAATTTTTTTTAGGGCTTTTATCATAACACAATGTTGAATTTTTTTAGAAAGCTTTTTCAGGGTCTATTGAAATGATCACATGGTTTTTGCTCTCAGTTCTGTTACTATGATGTGTCATGCATATTGATTTGTGCATGTTGAACCATCCTTGCATTCCTGGGATGAATCCCATCTGATCATGGGGAATGATCTACACTCACAATATTGTACAACCATCACCACTATCTATTTCCAAAACTTTTTCATCACCCCAAACAGAAACTCTGTACCCACCAAGCAATAACTCCTCATACTCCCTGACCCCAGCTCCTAGTAACCTCTATTCTGCTGTCTCCATGAATTTGCCTTTTCTAGGTATCTTACATAAATAGAATCATACCATATTTGTCCCTTTGTATCTGGTTTCTTTCACTTAGAAATGTTTTCAGGCTTCATCTATGTTGTCAAATATATCAGAATTTCATTCCTTTTTAAGGCTGGATGATATCCCTAATGGTGTGTGAGGATCCCAATTTCTCCATTTCCTTACCAACAGTTGTTTTTCATTTAAAAAAATTATCATAGCCATCCTAGGATCCGTCTAATTTTGTCACATAAGGTGTTACTGTGTAAAGGAATGCAGATCTACGCAGAAGTCCCAGCCTCATCACTAACAGACTAACAGTGTGAGGTGGACAATCCTGGAGCTCTTAGTGCCTCAGTTTCTTCCTCTGTAAAGTGGAGCTAATAATGCCTGCCTGGCTAGGCTGTATAGGTGGAGTGAAGATAATGATGCATATAAAACATTAGTACAGACTCTAGAATGTGGTAGCTATTATTTTCCACAGAATGTAAGCTTAGTGGAGGCAGAGATTTGGTCTGTTAGGCACACCTTAGTATCCCAACCCCTGGAGCAGTGAGTGGCACTCAGTAGGCACTCCAAAAATATCTGCGGAATGAATGAATTAACTCTTAACAAGCAGGGCTATGTCGAAGTGTGTTGTCATGGATAGTGAGGACCCTGTTACTGGCAGTGTTCAAGCGTGATCTGCATAAACACTGAGTGGCGACTATGTACTGGGCCCCGTGAAATAATAACAAGATGAAAACGCACCCACCTAGCCTTCAAAGAGCAAAGGCTACAGAGTTGTGGGGACATAAGTCCCCCATAACTTATGATGCAAGCCATGCAGGCTCCTGGCAGAGTGGGGTCCCCAGGGAAGATAGCCAGGAGGGCTAGGGGCTTGAGCTGGAGCATCCTTGGGGCAGGTGTGGCCCTGACCCAGTGAGGCTAGCCTGGCTGCCACCTACCCTGTCCCAGGTGCTGCCAGACCGCGACGGAAAGCGCTGCATGTTCTGTGTGAAGACAGCCACCCGCACGTATGAGATGAGCGCCTCAGACACGCGCCAGCGCCAGGAGTGGACAGCTGGTGAGTGCTCGCTAGGTGGCTTGGGTCTGGCTGGTCCTTAGGCGCCTCATCTGTGAAAAGGGGGTGATAATACTTTGTCCAGCGGGAGGTTGGAGAGTGGACTCGGGCCGTGTGCGGGGATCCGACTGACCCGCTCCCGCTCCTTGGCAGCCATCCAGATGGCGATCCGGCTGCAGGCCGAGGGGAAGAAGTCCCTACATAAGGACCTGAAGCAGAAACGGCGCGAGCAGCGGGAGCAGCGGGAGCGGCGCCGGGCGGCCAAGGAGGAGGAGCTGCTG